GGCCATTTTTAAATTTTTTAATTTCTATTAAAAATGCGTGTCCTGCAAAAATTATTAACTTTAACCTCTTGTAAAATCTTTTAATGACCAAATTACTGAAAACCAAAAACGTATCTAGTTAGTATGAACCTTTGTCTCTTACTATGCAAAAAATCACTAATTTATCTAGAAGCGTTAAATCACAATATTTAGAGTAGAAACCCATGCTTTCGAAAAATTTTGAGAATATATATACAGATATGTTATATAAAATTGAAACGGGACATTTCACCCCCTGCTGTACCCTTATGTAAGCCATTAACACCGGAACTGTGGTATATTGATCTCATCTTCGTTGCTTCCGATGTCTACATAAAGAGTATAAACTTGCATAAACTGCTTACAACAAGTTTTAAAAGTTCCATCGATAAAAGTTCTAATAAATGTTGTCCATTTTAAATTAAAGACAAAATTGAATTTAACATAGGGTTTGTGCTCGTTTCATACCTTCTCATTTCGTACCTCACGCGAAAAATTATCGTTTCGTGTCTTATATTTTAATTACCTCAACCGAAGGATAGAGTTATGCTCTTTTCGTACCTTGATGAGGACAACTGCACTTAATTACACAAACATCTTAATTATTAGCAAAACTGAGATTGTCTTCGACCACATTGTCATAAAGAAAACTATTTGTATTTTTCTGGAATAACAATTTCCTTTATATGCATCGGCAGATTTTTAATCCCTAAAAAAACATGTCAAGCGAAATATAATTGTTTTTTAACAGAACAGAATTTTGGAACTGTGGTAACAAAATCCAGACTATTGTTGGCTACATTCTTCGTTAATTTGTTTTTACAGGACCATATTATTCTCCAGCTTTTTTCTTCAAATTGGAAATTCAAAGTAGGTACCACATGGTACAAAACGAAAACTCATTAGGGTCCATTTATCTTCACGGTAGGGAACGAAAATAATATTGGTCAAACCAGGTAATATTTGATTAAAGTACGAAATGAGAATACACGTAACAAAATACAATATCATGACACGCATATGTAGATACATATATACAATATATATTCAGAGTCAAGGGATCAAATGTCCCAGGGGATGAAATGTCTCGGGTTTAAAGTGTCCTAACACCGTTAACAATTAATTTAAATTCACTAATACATTGACAATAATAAGCTGCTATCTATTTCTAATGTACTGTAAATCATAATAATAACAGCCAGCATGTACTTATGTAATATTTCGGTAATTAAATTTCGTAACAGAAGAATAAAGACTTTATTATTCGACCTGAAAACAAGTCCATTCGTTTAGAAGAACTCGTTACAGAACAAAAGGCTTTTTGCGTTTAAAGTCACTTTCTTTGACTGAAAACTAAATGAGTCATTTTTAAAATGAATAGTGTTTTAATTGCTTTTGCACTCCTCTAATTGAGGAAGTCATCCCCGTGACTATTTACAGGTATAACCTTGGAAAATTTTAATTGCGTTAGTGAAACTTCGTTGGATTAATTGTTACCTACCTTTAATTAAGAATAACAAAAGAAATAAAAAACAAAGAAAAAAATCATCAAAATCGTTAAACATATTTATCTAACTAGGACAATTGTATAATAGCCTGACTCTTGAACGTTCTCTAATACCATTTTGTCAACTTACCGCCAAAGCCTGGTCTAATGCTGTTGTCATATCCTCTAAGCAGGTTGTCCAAAAGAGTTGAAATGTTTTGATGATTATTACGCTGAACTTGATTAATCTTCCTCACTAGAGTTATCTGCAAACTTGCACGAAACAGAATTGTGAAGCACATTCCAAGAATGCATATTCTCTCTGAAACAAAAGTAGAAACAGGATTTATATCTAAGTGGACTCCATTACAGCAGTATTAGCATCTAACAAGGAGGACTTAGAGATAGCTCTAAATAAAGTGGAAGAGGTGTTGACAAAACAGTATTGTGTGAAAATAAACAAAAGCAAAAGAAAAATACTGGTATGCAAGGGAAGAAAAAGTAGGGTGTTGCGGCTTCAATTAATAATTGTATATATATATATATATATTCAATTTGGTTAGTGATTGTAATTTTGTAAATATTTAATTTTGTTCGTATTTTTCGATAGTCAACACTTTGTATTTTCTTACAGTTCTATTCAATTTTAACGTACAAGGTGTTTCTGTAGGTGTAAATAAATATTAGTTTCTTAGAATAGGTAATGCAGTAATTTTAACGAAGAGATCGGACCAGGTAGGTCTCACAATATCATTCATTAATGGAAAACCCAAGTCCGTCGCTACGTCATCACTTNGGTATAAATAAATATTAGTTTCTTAGAATAGGTAATGCAGTAATTTTAACGAAGAGATCGGACCAGGTAGGTCTCACAATATCATTCATTAATGGAAAACCCAAGTCCGTCGCTACGTCATCACTTCGGAATGTACAGATGATACCGTAGGGATGCATAGGGACGGCGAAGGGGTAATGTGCACGATAGGCGTTGCCTATTTTGTGCCAACGATATTTAAACGAGAAATGAAATTTTTAGTAGGAGGACGCCGGTTCGATTCCGGGTCCGTCTGCCTTGGTCCAAGTTTTTCTGTGGTTTCCTTGGATCACTTAGGCAAATGCTGAGGCAGTAATATTCCACAGATAATCTTTCACTTTCTTCTGTCTTCATTTCGTCCGTTTCATCTTTCTCACCCGAATCACCACCCACCCATTCCCACGATTCCTGAAAGCAGGCTGAAGAGGGCCTTCCGCCCTACCTTCCGGCATAGTCCGGAGGGACTGCCCGCCCACCAGCATTAGTGGCTGGTGGGAATGAAACACCCAAAAGTTTTTTTTTAAATTTTTAGTATTCGAAATTCAGCATTCACGATTCCATATTCAAAACTCTACCTTCAATCAAATCGACATTCAAAATTCAGCATTCAATATTCGACAGGCAATCTATCAATTAAAATCAATCAACAAGTATTCAATCATCGAACCAACAATATATAAATACAAAACAAATACCTAGTAAGTTGTACATAGTGTATTACATTGTACAAAATAAAACCAAACAAGAAAGTGATTTATTCGTCAACAACAAAATCCGGAAGAATATGTGGAGCAGTGAGCGAATACTGCAACCACCGAACGTAGAGAAAAAGCAAATATAAAGATAGGAGACGAAAATTAGAAGAAGTGACTGATTTTCGGAATCTAGGAAGTTAGATAAGTCAGGATGGAAGGAGTAGTAGGGATATAAAATAGAAGATAGCGCAGACTTGAGTCACCTTCAATGAAAAGAAGTCACTTCTATGATCGCGAACGGTTAATTTAGAAATTCAAAAAAGATTGTTAAAGGTGTGTTTGGGGCGCGGTATTTAACCGGTGCGAAACATGGACGGCGGGCTCGGCGGAAAAGAAAAGGTTAGAAGCGTTCGAAATGTGGTGTTACAGGTGAATAATGAGGAGACCGTCGATAGAGAAGGTTAGAAATGAAGAGGGATTAGAAAGAAAAGGTGAACAAAGGACTCAATGGAAGTTAATAAGAAACTGACGAGATAGGTTGGTAAGACACCTTCTCAGATATGAAGGACTGGTGACAATTGAATAAATATGTAAACTTATGTACAAAAACTATAGCATTCTTTACGCTTTGGTTTCGTTAATTTTATTATTATTCTGAACAGCAAAACTGACCTGTTTAATATTATAGAATTTAAAAAGCTTCGTGCTAATTTGTAAAGGAAAATCACGTACTTTTTGACAGCCCCGCTGTAAATCACGCGAAGCATTTTTAGTTTCAATTAGTGAAAGTTATTTGCAAAAGAAAAGAAGAATTGAATACGAAAAAAGAGATGAAAGAATAAAAATTATTCTAGAATAAAAAGTTAATAAAGACTTGGGAAAATGCTTACGAGCATTGGCATACACCCAGAAGTTAGAATAGTGTAACATTATATATTACAATGGGTTGACTTAAATGCAACTTCCGCATTTTTTTTAATTGGATTTCTTAATACATTACACATTATGACGAAGGTTTCTAATNTCGGCGGAAAAGAAAAGGTTAGAAGCGTTCGAAATGTGGTGTTACAGGTGAATAATGAGGAGACCGTCGATAGAGAAGGTTAGAAATGAAGAGGGATTAGAAAGAAAAGGTGAACAAAGGACTCAATGGAAGTTAATAAGAAACTGACGAGATAGGTTGGTAAGACACCTTCTCAGATATGAAGGACTGGTGACAATTGAATAAATATGTAAACTTATGTACAAAAACTATAGCATTCTTTACGCTTTGGTTTCGTTAATTTTATTATTATTCTGAACAGCAAAACTGACCTGTTTAATATTATAGAATTTAAAAAGCTTCGTGCTAATTTGTAAAGGAAAATCACGTACTTTTTGACAGCCCCGCTGTAAATCACGCGAAGCATTTTTAGTTTCAATTAGTGAAAGTTATTTGCAAAAGAAAAGAAGAATTGAATACGAAAAAAGAGATGAAAGAATAAAAATTATTCTAGAATAAAAAGTTAATAAAGACTTGGGAAAATGCTTACGAGCATTGGCATACACCCAGAAGTTAGAATAGTGTAACATTATATATTACAATGGGTTGACTTAAATGCAACTTCCGCATTTTTTTTAATTGGATTTCTTAATACATTACACATTATGACGAAGGTTTCTAATTTTTATACTTTTAAATACGCTCGTTTTACTTGCAGAAAAGTGCTAGTCCTAAGCCTGAGTAAAGTGTGAAGGAAAGTTGAAATTTAAGTTGAAATTATTATTCAATTGAATTACATAAACCAAATAAACAATATTACACAAATCCATTGTACGCAGACTTACATATTTATTAAATTGTCGCGGCACTACGGGCACGCAAAATGGTCGGGGCACTACGAGGACAGCGCTACGGGCCCTCACTCGAAGGACTATACAGAGACATAGAGGCAAAAACAGGAGTTAAACGGAATAGAGGTATTCGTAGATTAGATTACTGTTTGCAAATAGTTAAGGATGTGGGACGTTCTAGTTTCAGGGAAATTCAATGATTAGCTCAGGATAGGAAAGAGTGGAGATGCGTGTTCAACCAGTCTTAGGACTGACGACCTCATAATAATGATGACGGGCTTCATTATCAGATAGGTCTTGTAATTTGCAAATTATCTTTACTGTTTAATGTTTTGTATTTTACATCCTTCCTGGCGATGTAGGGATAAATCAAACTTTTAAAGCTTACACGTTTTAAAGAGTAATTAAAAAGCCAGTTCAGTTTTTTTGTCTCTATTGATAAGGTTAAATAAAATTATGACATTTGAATGGTATGAAAATGGTCGCAAAAGTTAGTGACCGAAACGCCTCAACATTGAATATATTCATTGAATGGACAATCGCTTTATTCTTACGTATACGTAATAAAATAAAAAAAAAATTAAACGATAGGGTAGAGTAGAGAAGAGGATACAAAATTAATACCTATGATCAATTAGATGCGATTACTTAATTCTGTGAGAAAACTAGAACTATATAACTATAATTATTACTGATGATGTGGTTCTTAACTGTTACAAATGGTTTAAATGAATTGCTTCTTTAATTGCCAGTTTTTGAAGAAAACTATTAAACTTAAGTAATCGACTGTAGTTATTCATAAAAANGTAGAGAAAAAGCAAATATAAAGATAGGAGACGAAAATTAGAAGAAGTGACTGATTTTCGGAATCTAGGAAGTTAGATAAGTCAGGATGGAAGGAGTAGTAGGGATATAAAATAGAAGATAGCGCAGACTTGAGTCACCTTCAATGAAAAGAAGTCACTTCTATGATCGCGAACGGTTAATTTAGAAATTCAAAAAAGATTGTTAAAGGTGTGTTTGGGGCGCGGTATTTAACCGGTGCGAAACATGGACGGCGGGCTCGGCGGAAAAGAAAAGGTTAGAAGCGTTCGAAATGTGGTGTTACAGGTGAATAATGAGGAGACCGTCGATAGAGAAGGTTAGAAATGAAGAGGGATTAGAAAGAAAAGGTGAACAAAGGACTCAATGGAAGTTAATAAGAAACTGACGAGATAGGTTGGTAAGACACCTTCTCAGATATGAAGGACTGGTGACAATTGAATAAATATGTAAACTTATGTACAAAAACTATAGCATTCTTTACGCTTTGGTTTCGTTAATTTTATTATTATTCTGAACAGCAAAACTGACCTGTTTAATATTATAGAATTTAAAAAGCTTCGTGCTAATTTGTAAAGGAAAATCACGTACTTTTTGACAGCCCCGCTGTAAATCACGCGAAGCATTTTTAGTTTCAATTAGTGAAAGTTATTTGCAAAAGAAAAGAAGAATTGAATACGAAAAAAGAGATGAAAGAATAAAAATTATTCTAGAATAAAAAGTTAATAAAGACTTGGGAAAATGCTTACGAGCATTGGCATACACCCAGAAGTTAGAATAGTGTAACATTATATATTACAATGGGTTGACTTAAATGCAACTTCCGCATTTTTTTTAATTGGATTTCTTAATACATTACACATTATGACGAAGGTTTCTAATTTTTATACTTTTAAATACGCTCGTTTTACTTGCAGAAAAGTGCTAGTCCTAAGCCTGAGTAAAGTGTGAAGGAAAGTTGAAATTTAAGTTGAAATTATTATTCAATTGAATTACATAAACCAAATAAACAATATTACACAAATCCATTGTACGCAGACTTACATATTTATTAAATTGTCGCGGCACTACGGGCGCGCAAAATGGTCGGGGCACTACGAGGACAGCGCTACGGGCCCTCACTCGAAGGACTATACAGAGACATAGAGGCAGAAACAGGAGTTAAACGGAATAGAGGTAGATAAGATTACTGTTTGCAAATAGTTAAGGATGTGGGACGTTCTAGTTTCAGGGAAATGCAATGATTAGCTCAGGATAGGAAAGAGTGGCGATGCGTGTTCAACCAGTCTTAGGACTGACGACCTCATAATAATGATGACGGGCTTCATTATCAGATAGTTCTTGTAATTTGCAAATTAACTTTACTGTTTAATGTTTTGTATTTTACATCCTTCCTGGCGATGTAGGGATAAATCAAACTTTTAAAGCTTACACGTTTTAAAGAGTAATTAAAAAGCCAGTTCAGTTTTTTTGTCTCTATTGATAAGGTTAAATAAAATTATGACATTTGAATGGTATGAAAATGGTCGCAAAAGTTAGTGACCGAAACGCCTCAACATTGAATATATTCATTGAATGGACAATCGCTTTATTCTTACGTATACGTAATAAAATAAAAAAAAAATTAAACGATAGGGTAGAGTAGAGAAGAGGATACAAAATTAATACCTATGATCAATTAGATGCGATTACTTAATTCTGTGAGAAAACTAGAACTATATAACTATAATTATTACTGATGATGTGGTTCTTAACTGTTACAAATGGTTTAAATGAATTGCTTCTTTAATTGCCAGTTTTTGAAGAAAACTATTAAACTTAAGTAATCGACTGTAGTTATTCATAAAAACAATATTTATTCATAAAAATTATGGTATAATGTGTTCCCATTAGTTTAGATACAGAATATAGAAAAAAATTATTATTGTACTAGCTTTTACCCACGGCTTTGCTCGCGCCGATGTCTTAAATACGTGTCAAAAGTCATCGACAACACAAAACTAATTTTGTTATCCCTCGGATGCACTATTCTTTTTCTAGATAAAAGGTACCCTATGTTCTTTTCGGTTATTTTCATGATAATTGGTTGAGTAATTGAAGCATGAAATCGTAATAAACACACGAACAAACTCACATTCGCATTTATAATATTTGTTAAGTCATGAAACATAAAGTATCTTCAAAAATATAACGAATAATCCTGTTATCCTTGCATAGTAAGAAACGTTGCTTGGCAACTCGCATGTTGTTTAATTCCTTCAAAATTTACAGATTTCTTGGTAAGGCAGTGGCAGTTTATACCACGATTGATTACAAGATGTATCTTTTACAGCTAATTTAAAAAGAAGCTGGGTTTATATACCTAATAAAGAGGTACGTTCATAAACGTAGATCTATATTATGATAATTAAGAGTTTTCCAATTCTAACAATACTTTTTAATGACATTGACGTAGAAATTTATGGCATTTTTATTATAGTCTACGCTTTATTTATTAACAGACAAGTAGGTACCTAGTAAATGATCTTCTGATCTACTCTAAGTTACTTACCCTCGTCCTAGTTTTAATTTAGGAAATGTACATTTTGTTTTTTGCTATAATAAAAAATGGTGAAAGTTCATAATAATAAAATGAAAGCTATACTACGTATATGGCAGTTCCAAAACAAACTAATTTTGAACATAATCGGTCATCCTGAAGTCCTGAAGTGTTATGCATTTGATATTTTGCCCCCATAATTTACTAGGCTATATGTTCTACCATTCTGATAAAAAAAAAGGAATAATAAAAGAGACTGTGGCAAATAAATAACTAAAAATACTTACCTAATTTAATTGTGACAGTATCAATGCAAGAATGATGCTGTCCCCAATTAATGAGGGTGGAATATATTTCTGTTACACCAAAACGTTTGTTATGGTAATTAATATGGGTGAGTTTCTTTTATATATAAATCGGAGTAATTTCTGGACTTCCGGACCATCGGTAAAGATAGACACGGAATTGGATTATTTTTGTATGTAGGGTAGTAATGAGGATTCAGGCAGGCTGATGAAAAATGTCATATATAATTTTATATCATAGAACGAGTTAAAATTTATAAAAAAGGTTTTTGCGAATATTGCGCTTTCTATGGCCCAGAGGTCAGTTGAGGTCATTATAAAATGAAAGATAATGGAATTCCCAGTAGTTGATATCTCCAATTTTTTCGTACACGAATAGTTTAGCGAAAAATTTGCTGTAAAGTTTCCGACAAGGGGTATACCTACTCCTCTTTGTCTAGACTTTTAGTCAAGTTCAGTAACTGAACGAATAAGTTAATTTATAAAATTAATTCAGTAGTGCATTAAGTAAAAGCTACACCCTTTGGAGCAAATTTTTGCCTAAACTATTCGTTGTAGGATAAAAATAATTTTTTTTGGGGAATAAAAAAGAATTACTTCTATGTACTCGAATGATTAACTTAGAAATTCGAAAAAGAAGGTGTACGTTTGGAGCGCGGCGCTGAATGGGTGCGTAACATAGACGGTTGGCGCCGTGGAAAAGAAATGTGGTGTTATAGACAAATGATGAGGATAACGTGGGTAGAAAAGGTTAGAAATGATGAGGTATCTATTAGAAAAAATAAGAGAACAGAGGATTCTATTGAAGTCAATAAAAAATAGGCGAGATAGGTTGGTAGGACACCTCAGGCATAAAGGTCTAGTCAGAGACGTATTAGAAGCAGAAACGGGAGTTAAGAGGAGTAGAAGTAGATAGATTGGATTACTATTCGCAAATAGTTAAGGATGTGGGATGTTCTAGTTTTAGGGAAATGCAAAGATTAACTGAGGATAGAAAGGAGTGGAGCTGCGTTTCCAACCAGTCGTAGGACTGACGACTTTATGATGATGATGTAGCGAGGTTACTCCTAATATTTTAAAATAAATTATATTGACACCGCCTGCGTGAATATTAATGTTATCAAAAATTTTTTGTGTACGTAGGTTTTTATACAAAGTGGTTGAAACAAAACGAAGCAAGAACGTAACGATGAGCAACAAAAGGGACAAGAGCCATCCGCGCCTCCTGCCTCAGGTGTTGAGAGCAGTCGCGGAACTGAAAGATATAAACGGATCTACGGCGAAAAAGATCGTATCTCGCGTTAACGAATTGATAAAACGTTGCAGAACGTCGGGTCCTAAGCCTAGAAACGTGACCATGCAAGTTCGCAAAGCTCTGCACCACGGAATAGAAAATGGGCTTCTAAAGTATAGAGGAGGTCGGTACAAGCTCGTATTTGGAGGAAAATCAAGGAATACAAGAACGATGGCTAGTAGGTACCAAATAGTTATATTAATTGATTTCAATTTCTTTTTATTTGTACTCTTACGCCGAAGCCGGTCTTTAATTAAAATTTATACTCATAATAGTTTGTTGCCGTTATTGCTGATACTGTTATTGTCAAGGGTGTTATCAGAAAGGGGGAAGAACAAGATGATGGATTAAGAATATAAACTGTAGGTAAACTAAATAGAATTTGTAAAGCTTTAATCGTTTATACTACGAGGAAAATACCTAAATTAAAACATAAACTGCTTAGGTTTTTAGGGAATTTTTTCCGATGGAGCACATGCAGCGGTCGCTCTAAATGAGCAGGAGCGAATTTTTTTTCCATTAACTTTTCTCTCACGTTTGTAAAATAATTAAATTACAACTTATGATTTGCGGCTGTGCACTTAAAACTTATAATAAGAATTATCGTAGATAAAAGGTTGTGGAATCGTCAATATGAACATGCTAATAATAAAAGTGCGGTTTGCAATGCATTGAATTAAAGAAAACGGTTTCTTAGCCGTGCAGCGGCCACATTGGATAACGATATTTTGTGCGGTTTTTGTCGATTTTCGGCGTCGATGATGTTCGGTCAATGATTGGTTTCGGGGGAGCGAAGTGATATTCACTGAAAGTTTGATACTTTGTGTTGATGAAAACAAGCAATTGTGTCTATTATATGACGAAAAGAAGTTCATAAGTAAGTCAAATGTACGTGCTCCCTAAATTTATCTTCATCAACGTATAATCTATAGACTGGACTAGAAACTTGAACGTGCCTTCTTTTCTTAAATTTAAAAAAAGTATCGTTTCTTGTGTTTTTTGTTTATATTAAAATAGATGCACACAACTACCTTTATACACTGTCCATAGTTAAATATCGCTTCCAACGGTTTAATAATTACGTAGTATCCAGAGATATTTTAAGAAAACAACCTTCGCTATTGAATAGATCGGACTGGATTTTCCCTCCGCTTTCGGTTCCATTCTGCTTTGCCGACCTTTCTAGGAAACCGTACTTTTAGAAAGTTTTAGTTTGTAGGGAAGCATGTTAAAAATAGGGTCACATAGCGGGAAATATAATCTTCTTATCGACTTACATTAAGTTGTTATATAAATAGTAACTGGATACATATTTATACAACTACTAAATATGAACATGACAATAATGAAACCACTGTAAATTTACTAATTTGTAAGTTTTGTTAGGAAATATTAGAAACAGTAATTGTACGTTGTAACTAGTTTACTTCCTGATGAGTTTCCAGACATCCGAACGAAATATTGCAGAACTACAAACATATTTCTAACAATATTAGATACGCCTTTTTGTGATTCTCATTACTACATTACGTATAAAAATTTCGTCAGAACAACTACCTATTCTATCGAATATTCTTAATACTGTAGCAAGGTTTTTAATCAAATACAATCAAAGACGCGATCAACATCATTAAAGACAGTACAATTGTAGGGATAGATGTAGAGGGGAAAAAGATTAATACGCTTAAATTTACGAATGATATAGCAGTATTAGCATCTTGCAAGGAGAAGTTAGAGATAACTTTAAATAAAATGACAAAACAGTATTATATGAAAATAAATAAAAGTAAAAAAAACTACTGGTTTGCAAGAGAGGGAAAAGTAGGGAAAGAGCAAATATAAAGTTAGGAGACGAAAAATTAGAAAAAGTGATTTTAGGTATCTAGGAGGTCAGATAATAAATGGAAGGAGTAGCAGGAATATAAAATAGATAATAGCGCAGGGTCGAATCGCCTCCAATAAGAAGAAGTTACTTCTATGCACTCGAATGATTAACTTAGAAATTCGAAAAAGGTCTACGTTTGGAGCGCGGCACTGAATGGGTGCGAAACATAGACGGTAGGCGCCGTGGAAAATAAAAGGTTAGAAACGTTCGAAATGTGGTGTTACCGGCGGATGATGAGGATACCGTAGATAGAGAAGAAGGTTAGAAATGAAGAGGTATTAGAAGGAATAGGAGAATAGGCGACTCTACGGAAGTAAATAAAAAATATTGAGACAGGTTGGTAGGACACCTCAGGCATGAAGGTCTAGTCAGAGACATATTAGAAACAGAAACGGAAGTTAAGAGGAGTAGAAGTAGATAAATTGGATTACTATTCGCAAATAGTTAAGGATGTGGGATGTTCTAGTTTTAGGGAAATGTAAAGATTAACTTAGGATAGAAAGGAGTGGAGCTGCGTTTCCAACCAGTCTTAGGACTGACGACTTTATGATGATGATGTAGCGAGGTTACTCCTGATATTTTAAAATAAATTATATTGACACCGCCTGCGTGAATATTAATGTTATCAAAATTTTTTTGTGTACGTAGGTTTTTATACAAAGTGGTTGAAACAAAACGAAGCAAGAACGTAACGATGAGCAACAAAAGGGACAAGAGCCATCCGCGCCTCCTGCCTCAGGTGTTGAGAGCAGTCGCGGAACTGAAAGATATAAACGGATCTACGGCGAAAAAGATCGTATCTCGCGTTAACGAATTGATAAAACGTTGCAGAACGTCGGGTCCTAAGCCTAGAAACGTGACCATGCAAGTTCGCAAAGCTCTGCACCACGGAATAGAAAATGGGCTTCTAAAGTATAGAGGAGGTCGGTACAAGCTCGTATTTGGAGGAAAATCAAGGAATACAAGAACGATGGCTAGTAGGTACCAAATAGTTATATTAATTGATTTCAATTTCTTTTTATTTGTACTCTTACGCCGAAGCCGGTCTTTAATTAAAATTTATACTCATAATAGTTTGTAAATTTTGCCGTTATTGCTGATACTGTTATTGTCAAGGGTGTTATCAGAAAGGGGGAAGAACAAGATGATGGATTAAGAATATAAACTGTAGGTAAACTAAATAGAATTTGTAAAGCTTTAATCGTTTATACTACGAGGAAAATACCTAAATTAAAACATAAACTGCTTAGGTTTTTACGGAATTTTTTCCGATGGAGCACATGCAGCGGTCGCTCTAAATGAGCAGGAGCGAATTTTTTTTCCATTAACTTTTCTCTCACGTTTGTAAAATAATTAAATTACAACTTATGATTTGCGGCTGTGCACTTAAAACTTATAATAAGAATTATCGTAAATAAAAGGTTGTGGAATCGTCAATATGAACATGCTAATAATAAAAGTGCGGTTTGCAATGCATTGAATTAAAGAAAACGGTTTCTTAGCCGTGCAGCGGCCACATTGGATAACGATATTTTGTGCGGTTTTTGTCGATTTTCGGCGTCGATGATGTTCGGTCAATGATTGGTTTCGGGGGAGCGAAGTGATATTCACTGAAAGTTTGATACTTTGTGTTGATGAAAACAAGCAATTGTGTCTATTATATGACGAAAAGAAGTTCATAAGTAAGTCAAATGTACGTGCTCCCTAAATTTATCTTCATCAACGTATAATCTATAGACTGGACTAGAAACTTGAACGTGCCTTCTTTTCTTAGATTTAAAAAAAGTATCGTTTCTTGTGTTTTTTGTTTATATTAAAAAAGGAAAGATGCATACAACTACCTTTATACACTGTCCACAGTCAAATATCGCTTCTAACGGTTTAATAATTACGTAGTATCCAGAGATATTTTAAGAAAACAACCTTCGCTATTGAATAGATCGGACTGGATTTTCCCTCCGCTTTCGGTTCCATTCTGCTTTGCCGACCTTTCTAGGAAACCGTACTTTTAGAAAGTTTTAGTTTGTAGGGAAACATGTTAAAAATAGGGTTACATAGCGGGAAATATAATCTTCTTATCGACTTACATTAAGTTGTTATATAAATAGTAACTGGATACATATTTATACAACTACTAAATATGAACATGACAATAATGAAACCACTGTAAATTTACTAATTTGTAAGTTTTGTTAGGAAATATTAGAAACAGTAATTGTACGTTGTAACTCAGATCGCAATGTTGAGTTTTAACTTTTCTTTTATTTTTCAGGTATAAATGTTTTTATCTGAAATTTTAGGTTATGCTGTAATAATGAAGTAAATTTTTATATATTTATATTGAGGTAGAACTGCTCCACCATATTATACAGTAACAAATNAAATTTTATATTATATTTATTTACCACCATAATTATTGCCACAAAGAATTTTCATGTTTAGCAATAGGATAAATTCAATATAATATTGAAACTGAATTATACAATTTAGAATGACTAGTCAATAATTTAACTATAGTTAATTAATAATTTTACAACAAAATACTAATGTTAGCCTACGTAAGGATGAACGATCACAGGGTGAGTGAAGACAACAAGCTGTCTTGCCACCCTGCATCTTTGTGATCTCGAATTCGAATCGCGACTCTCGACTTCTTGACTTAACTCATTATAATTATTGATATTTTGCTATTTAAACGGTTGTTAATTTACCAACTAACACCGTAGGTAAATAGGTGTTAGCTTGCAATTTTAAGTAAATAATTTAGACGTACAAACTTTGTACCAGTGATCTAGATATGAATTTATGGATACTATGTAACAGGTGTTTTATTTAGTTCAGTTTTCACAAAACTTTGATTTTCTGTACACTCTGTGTTAAAATACCCCCGGTATATAATTTAGAGTAATTTAATTTTATCTAATGTTTTTTTGGCTTTGTTCTTATTAACGTTTAATACAAACATTTATTATATTTCTTAGAATTCCCTCACTTGTATAAAAATTCTCTTACAATCTTTGTTACATAATTACTATTTTAGGGGAGTGGGATGTCATCGACATTTGCACTAATTAGATTTTACAACAAATACTATAAAACCTAAACACTTATAATAATTCACCCCCTGATTATAATCTCATCTCGCAATTACACTGGCACATCATGACAATGAAATATTTTAACTCCTAAATCCATATGTTGCTGTAGTTTGGCTAATTTCTGTTTAACGTTATAACGCCTTGAAATTTCAATATTAGCTATACCTATAGCAATAATGGGGCCAAAGTACTTTATTAAATTACCTATATCAAATTCGGAATCAGCGTCGCAAACTACTTCGGAATTGATATCTCTGGTCTTATCGTTAGTTCCTGGTCCAAGTTGAACTCTATTGTTTACTATTTCAAATGATTGACTTTTTCTATAAGGGTTTCTTTAGAAATCACATTATATTTGTAGTTTGCTTTGTTATGAAGGTTTCTTATGTGTATACTTATCATTAATCAAGAATTGTTGTCATAAAAAACGCAAAACAATGACTTTTTTATCGCTTGTATGCAAACTACGTGCGTGTATATGTGAGAATCAACAAGTACGTATATGCTTAAAGGTAAAACAGGTACGTAATTTACACAGAATTATTGATATCTATCATTCTAGGATTTTTTTTAATTTACATATATTTATACTTGACTTTACTCGCGCCTTTGCTTGGGTTTACGTCATAAATACGTGTCAAAGATTATCCACAACCACATAAAACTAATTTTTCTATCCCTCCGGAACAATACTTTTTTTGGATAAAAGGTATCCTTCTGTACTCCTGACAATGTGTCTACAAAATTTCATGTTGATTGATTGAGTAGTTAAGGCGTAAAATCGACCACACTGAACTAATTTTTCTATCCCTCGGGAATAGTTGTTTTTTTTCCTAGATAAAGGGTGCCCAGTATTGCATGAAAATAAATAACAGTAAAACAAAGGTGTTGGTATACAAGGTAATAAAAATTAAGGAAAGAGTGAATAGAAAGATAGGAGACGAAAGATTACCTATAAGAAGTGGCTGATTTTAGGTGTCTAAGAAGTCAGATAAGTCAGGACGGAAGGAATAGTAGGGATATAAAGCACAGGATAGCGCAGGGTCGAGTCGCCTTCAATAAAAAATTCGGAAAAGACTGTTAAGGTGTATCTTTTGAGAGTGCGAAACGCGCGAAGCGTTCGAAATGTGGCGTTACAGGTGAAGGATGAGGATACCGTGAATAGAGAAGGTTAGAAATAAAGAGGTATTAGAAAGAATAGGCGAACGGAGGACTATATAGAAGTCAGCAAAAAATAGGCGAGTTCATGGAACACCTTCTTAGGCATGAAGGTCTAGTCAGAGACATATTAGAGACAGATACAGGAGTTAAGAGGAGTAGAGGTAGACCTAGATTAGATTACTGTACGCAAATAGTTAAGGATGTGGGATGTTCTACTTTTAGGGAAATGCGATGATTAGCTCAGGATAGGAAGGATTGGAGGCGCGTGTCCAACCAGTCGTACGACTAACGACATTATGATGACAATGAAAAGGTACCCTATGTCCTTTTCTGTACCATTGTTAATGTGTCAATAAAATTTCATGGTGATCGATTGAGTAGTTAAGGCGTGAAATCAGCTAAATAAAACTAATTTTTCCAACCTCCGGGAACAGTATTTGTTCTGGATTTCTTCTTTACCTCTGACAATGAGTCTACAAAATTTTATTGTAATCGATTGGGTAGTTAAAACGTACAATCGACCACATTGAACTAATTTTTCAATCCTTCAGGAATAGTTATATTTTTCTGGATAAAAAATACCCTATGTCCTTTTCCGTACACCGGACAATGTGTCTTCAAATTTTCATGATTTAGTTGAGTAGTTAAGGCGTGAAAAACCGGCAAAGAAACTCACATACGCATTTATAATATTAGTTAGGATAATCGTACATTTTTGGATATTGATTTAAATGTGTTTGTATTATATATTTATTCTCCCATTTCATTAATAGATAGTCGCTTCTCATACTATGCTACAAATTACATGCCTTAAATATAATAAACTTAATTGAAATACACTCTCCAAATACTTTTTAACTGTGTTGGAATAACGCTAAAATTGTTAATTAAATATGTAATATTAACCTGTTAATTACTGAATTAATTATATAAGAGTCCCTCATGATTATCTTACGTCTCTTTTAAGTCATGGTGGATTTTTTCGAATTTTTAACCAATTTTTTTAAACCGTTAATTTATTTTTGTTCGTAAAGTAATGAAATGAATTAATTAGTTGCGGTTACGGCTGCATTAATTAAAGACCACGATAAGTTTCTTAATGATTATGGTGACTTTCAAGAGTATAAAGTATTTGAAACTGAATATTTTACATTTATACGTTCATAGGTGCATTTTTTCAAAAAGTAGGATAACCGTCCTGGTTTGGTTTTATTCTTTTTCATTCGTTCTGAATAAGTAGGGTAAAATGTTGAAAAATGACATAAGTTTATATTCAAGCATATTAATCAAAGGAAATCAAAATAATTTGATTGATGATATTATATGAAGCTAATCGTTGCTATCTTTCCGTTCCATTTGTTCCAGTTTGATTCAAAAATTTTCCAACATCATAGAGAACTTTAATCTTTTTAGCGTTCCATACCTTATAATGAAACGAAGGAACCCTTCATCCGTCCACGAAGGTTATTTTCTTAGGAATGACTGGGGATATTAAGTTGAAATTAGCATCAAATAATTCATAAGTTATTTTGTAGACATTCATTCCCCGGTTTCCCATCATGGTCATGGTCTAAGTCGATTTCTTTCAAACGTTTCACTAGATACTATTATCGGCATCTCTAATAATCCGTTGCTGTGACCTGAAAATCGGTTATTCACACCGAAGATGCCAACAACGTTTGAAAGAAGTCATCTCTAACCACACAGAACGAAAAACTAAGAAAATTAATTTATAATTAATAAACAGTAAAGTGCTTGAAATACAATGTCCTTACAGCCCAAGAGCTGAGCACGTGATAAAAATATATACCTTCTCTTCACTCCTCTCCGACCCCCTGTTGTTCCAAATTAGGTGTCCTCTTTTCAGTAGCTCAATTATGTAAGTGTATCAAAGTCATCATTTCTATAAATTTTTTTACAAAAAAATCGATTGCCTTCATTCTGTGCATTTATCCCTTGTGCTTAGTAAGCTGTTCTACATCTTAGAAACGTAACGCCCTCTATTATTCGAACGTATTACCGCAAAGGTGATCTATATATTCCGGATGCCATTGAAATCTTGTGTTCAGCTCTCAGATTAATACAATTTTCCCGGTAATCAAAATCTATAGAACTATGGAACGTATGAACGTACAACACAAATAAAGGGTAAATTAGCCTGCTATTTTTGGTTTATTTTTAACGTTTTAACAAATAAATCTTTCTGCATTGTGTTAAAATATAAGTGGTAGTTCAAACAGTAAGGGAAAAGAGTATCATTTATAAACGAATTTCAACAAACAAAAATTCCACGGTTCAGAAGACATAGATAATTGACTTGTTAGTAAAGTAAAAATGATAGCACTCCTAGTTTTCTATACACGATATAAAAATAGCAGTTTTCATTAAAAACCTATTTCAGAATGCAGGTTATGTCCAGTAAAAAAGAAAGTCGTATTTTAACAATACTAATAAATCTAAAAAAAATTTTCTTTCTTAAACTATGGGTTAGAACTATTAAATTTGTATGTACCTTGTACCTACTAATATAATTCATTTTAGAATTCATATGATAATTACAATTAGCTTGGTAATTAGGTACAATAGTAATGAGAATATTGTTTCTAAAAATGACTGTGTGCCGAGTATATAAATTAAGAAAGAATAATAACACACAATTAAAAACCGTACCGACTAAGTACGTATTTCCCGAACAAGTTTTCCTTCATGAAGCAGTAAAAGGTTTTTAGAATGACCATTGAGAAAGTTTCATAATTTAAAATGAAATTGACTGGAGCTTTATTTAAAGTAGGTAGGCGAATACGTGTTTAAAGTCGGAAAAGAATATTTAGGTTTCGTACTTACTGCAAATTACTTTCATTAGAGAATCAAATCGGCGGTACAATTAAGCACGTTAAAAACGAAGGCAGCGTTGGAATCAAAGCCTCTGAAATCAGTTCAAACATCAGATTACAACACTTAAAAATTTTTGTTACAATTATTACACTTTAATCATGACATAAAAAATAAAAAGGGTCGATAATCGTTGCTACAGATCGGAGTGTTATGTCAGCCTGAATGACCTTCTCTAAATACTTTCAAATCAATAACAACGACAATGATAGAATAGTCAATAAGGAAATCGACGACGCAAAACATCCGACTACGACTATAGATTACATATTTTGTATTGTTATATTCAGTTATTGAAATCTGAAAGCTGTAGATTATGCTCCATGAAGTGGCAATCTCACCCTTTGAAGGTCATAGATCGGCTAAAATGAAATATTAGTACGATAGAAAGCCCGATTCCTTTACTTGCTCTCCTGATCATCAAGTTAATATTACATTTTCATTTAATATGCCTGCTATACTACTGGACGCCAAGTAATTTCTACAATAGCAAAATTTCGTTCGACAAATTTTGAGATTTCGGTAGCTGACTCTAATGATCAAAATATTTTTTTCTTGCAAATTGCAAAAACCCAATGCGGATTTAAATTTAGATGGGAAAGAAAAACCGATTTCCATAAGTTCAAAATCGCGATCCGGATGTGGTTGCTTCTAATCACTAACTAAAAGGGACTACTACCACAACAACTTTTTTGGGTATTATCAACCCGAAAACTGAAATATTTCAAACTTATTGTTGTTGAATAAACTTCAATCGTCAAATAAATCTACTAATATAACTGGAAATCAAACAAAACAAAGACTTATTGAAATGAATTAGAATGTAAAAAGTGCCTGTATTATTAAAACATTTAGAAAATATTACAAAACCTCTATTATCACTCCACTATAAAAGTAATAGATATTAAATAAATGTCAGTTGATTTGAAAGCGGAATAAATTTTGTAGCAAGACGAACTGCTGCTGCTCCTGCTCCTCGTCGACGTCAGGCAAATGCTTCGAAAGGTAGAACTCGGAAGAGAACTACCCGACCCAAAGCGGTCCAGAGGAAAAAGCGGAAACGCAGTAGCTCAAGTTCGAAAAGTTCAAGCAGTGAAGATAATACAACTAGCGGAGACGGTAACGAAACCACCGATTCTGCTAGCAGCATGACCGTCAGTGGATCGTCTGCATCTTCGAGTATGAACACCAGTGACGCTAGAGATTCGACTTCACAATCAGTCGAAAGCTTTACGGTAGAATCAAAGAAAGATGATAAAAACAATAAGTCATCCGGTAGGTATGTAATTTTACGAAGCTTCATCGTTCAAGCAGAGGCGTGGGAAAAGGGGAAGAACTCAGGCGCTTTTATAAAAAATAATAACCATTTCGTAGTCTGTGGTAGATTAAAGTATTGTCCTATAATTTATAACACCTCAGACTATGATAATTTAAACTGGAACTAACCTATGCCTATGCGAATCTTTACACGAATAACGGTGGATTAAGCACTGGCTGACTTTAGATACCTAGGAAGTCAGATAAGTGAGGATGGAAGGAGTAGTAGGGATATAAAGCAGAGGATAGCGCAGGGTCGTGTCGCCTTTAATAAAAAAAAATCTCTTCTATGCTCGCGAACGGTTAATTTAGAAATTCGAAAAAGGTTGTTAAAGGTGTATGTTTGGAGCACGGCGTTGTACGGGTGTGAAACATGGACAGTGGGAGCGGCGGAAAAGAAAAGGTTAGAAGCGTTCGAAATGTGGTATTATAGGCGGATGATGAGGATATCGTGGGTAGAAAAGGTTAGAAATGAAGAGTTATTGGAAAGAATAGGAGAACAGAGGACTCTATGGAAGTCAATAAAAAATAGGCGAGATAGGTTGGTAGGACACCTTCTCAGGCATGAAAGTCTAGTCAGAGACATATTAGAGGCAGAAACAGGAGTTAGGAGGGGTAGAGGTAGGCCTAGATTAGATTACTCTTCGCAAATAGTTAAGGATGTAGGCTGTTCTAGTTTTGGGGAAATGCGAAGTTTAGCTCAGGATAGGAAAGAGTGGAGGTACGTGTCCAACCAGTCGAAAGACTGATGACCTTATGATGATGATGATGAAGCACTGGTTAATGTAAATGTTCGAGCGAATGCGTTCGGCAAGGGCGAAATAAGTTTATCTATCCCAGATGTTTAGGTAATGAAGGCTTTTCTTTAGACTCTGATCTATTGAAGCAACCAAGTAACTATAAGGTAGGATACAACCTACCTAGGTCATCCTTATAAGAAGAGTCAGGGCCGTCTTAACAACTAGGGGGATTGGGCGATTGCTCGGGAGGGGCGGCCAAACTGGGTAGGGATTTAAGATTCTGTATTTACTGAAAATTTGTTATGCGCTTCAGGATTGTCGCAGCTGGCTCAACTGAACAACATCTTGCTCCTTCACCTCCTAGCTCTTTGTCAAATGTAAATCGTTTTGGGACGAGTAATAAAAATAGGCCTGAAAGCGAAATTTTAGGTAACGTTATGCAAAATTTTACCGTTATGAATAGGGGTGCCAGGGTCGACGTTTATATATGGTTAGCTGACCATTTCCGTCTGTTATTAGTTTATTTTGTGTAAGTTTATATGCAAAAGTATTCTAAACCATCGCTCTTTACTTCGCCATATCCTCGACATTTTTTTATGAAACAACCTTCACCGTCTGATTACCTGGTTTATTTATTATTTTCGTATTTTTCAATATGCCGTTCACCGACCAGGAAACCTAGATACTATAGTAATTCTAAGGAAAAATTTCCCCTTTGAAAAACAAATCCTGAAAAGTCATTTTAAATGAGACCTAATGATTTCTAGTCCAAAGATTAACCCCTACAGTAAAGTCCCTCAATTTTTTTTTAGTACTCTAATTTCTTTAAGGATATTATGAACCCTACCAGTTTCTGTAGCTTCCGGAGAAAGAAGCTTCTCCAAATTTTCAATAGAAAATGAGGCGGCAACTATGTTAAATTATAACGATTTAATTTCTACTTTTGCAGAAATTGAAGTTAGAAAATTTATTTGGTTTTTTCATTCATATCCATATTGTTTATTGTGAATTGTCCGACGCATGTATTGTTTGTTAATATTAGTATATTTGCATAAATAAAAATTTTGTAGGGATGCTCTTTTTTAACAGTTTGCCCAGGGCGGCCTTAACTGTAGAGGGGGTCCTGATAAGAATGAAAGTAAAACTTGAGAATTAGAGATCCTTCACATAGACCATGACTGGCCTATTCTGAGAACCATCTCATTCATTGTACTAGATTGACACGTACTTTTTGGAATAGAACTAGATATTTGGTGATAATGGAGACACTTTTTAAGATATATGTATTTATTAAGCGTAGGGACTGGAACTGAAAGCTGAAAGCGTGATAATTGGTAATTGTGCATATCAGATGAACCTAGTTAGAGTGAAGAGAGAGTGTTGAGTGGCGGTATTAGGGAGAATCATCCAGAACACTAAAAAATGCTTTCCCAACTAAAAGCAGAAGGATGGAATCGCAGGAGGTGGAGATGAAAAATCTCATGAAATTAAATAAACATGGGATTGTTTGTAGGGGTTTCTCCCTTTTTCAGCATAATCTAAACTTTTATTTTTTTTTGTAAATGTGAAGATGTAGAATTTAAGTTAGGAAACATTTTCCGCCCATAGCTTAACTTTCACTTCTTAGTGCATGAAGTCGGTTATAGTGGATAAAAATTCTTTATTCCTTCACAAAAAAAAGAAAGGGTTGTGTTATGGTGGGCAAAAGTTCCCAATCCCCCAAAACTTTACTATAATGTTTATCTACTGTTATTCATCTCCATTCCCTGTACCTTTACCTTTCGCACCTACCTAAAAAGACATTGTTACTGTTATACAAAGTCTTCACCCCCGATCCATAAATACTGTTTATCACTCAGATACAAAAAACGTATATAGGTAGGGTTTAATACATGCAACTGTCATTGGCTCGACATTTGTTTAAATAGTACATTTTAGTCGCATGATAGGTCACCACTACTTCAATTTTAATTTTGTATAAAATTAGTATCCGTTATTCCCATATTACAATACTATATATATGACTGGCTTATAACAGTTTTAGTCATTTACTTAACAATAATCAGTTTATTTTAAGTTATACCTAACCAAAATTAAAAACACTTTCATACTCAGGTTAGGTTAGATTAGGTTAACAACAGTCAGTTTTGAATTTTAGACCAAAGTTTAGTCGAAGTTTATATACTTTTACAAATACCGATGCTTTTTTTGATACTTTTTGGCGTTAATATCGTCCAGTTGATGTTCTAAGTATTCTTTTTCTCCATTCCTCACGGCCCTGTTTAGTAGACACCCAGAATATTCCGGCATGTGTAGGTATGCATGTCGTTTTAGGTGCAAAACTAAGAAAAACACGGTGGGAATGCCAACTTCACTTTGGTGTCTAATAAAGGAAAGATGCGGACTGTCTACTCAACGTGGTGTGCGAACAAAAGAAACCACCACCAACAAAAAAACAGCCAAAAAACCTCTTCGTCGTAATAAACATAAGAAACATAGTAAGTCATTCCTCAACCCCCTTCCCAACATTTTTAAGAATACTTTAATGTAGGCCCCGGAATACGAGTGGTGATTATTTTTTTCGCGATAGCAACACCTATTCCCACTCCCCTGAATTTTAATTATCCTTTTTTTTCTGCTACTATCTAGTTTTAAGGCTATGTAGGTTTATTATTATACGGCGCTAGAAATGAGTTTACCGTCAAACCAGTTACGTAGTTAAATGTGAGTTTTCTTATTACAATGTGCAAACAAAACATTTCCAGGACCGTTAAAGAATAGGAAGGTATGTTGATTTCCTCCTTATTGCTTATACAGTTGTTGCTTCAAAAGCTTTCTTAATTACTTGCAGCTGGCATGGCTGGAGACAATTCATTTAACAGAGTAGTTAGAGGAGCATGTTGGACATTTACAAAATAAAAGAATAGAATAGATCAACAGTATCTGCTTTTGTAATTTATGTAATCAAATAAAGAGGTTAGTAAACAGTGTTGTTGATTTTTATCAATATCGGTAAGGTCATAGGAAAATTTGTTTGCTTACGATAACATGGCATAAGAATAAGCACAAGCGCGGTACTTTAAGATATTAAGCTTTATGCAGGGTGTCCCATTTATAATATTTAAAAAAACAACAATGGCTTCCTGACATAAAATACACCCAAAAAGTGTTATACAATTTTTCAATCCAGTGACAATTGAGCTCGCAAATTATCTTTGTAAATTTGAACGTACAATTTGTTTCATTACGGGCCTGGATCTAGGCGACTAACGTCGCTCAGCTGATCTAGTGTGAATGTAACAAGTACCTATCGGGAAGAAGCCGAATGCACTTCCACCTTGTAAAAAAAAGGTAAAAGTGAAAAAGAAAAGCGTACCTTTTATAAAAAATGTTTAAATTGTCCGTCATTCGCTTCAATGCAAGACTGAGAGCGGAGTAACCCAGCTGCTGCGAATTTCGGCCAAGATACCGGGAATATTTCCAATTATACGCTAGGCATTGGTAATGTAACTCACCACCAACTGACGGTTGAATAAGAACTGTGTTGGCATGCACTATCACACTACTAATTGTCCTTATTGTAATAGTCTTTTATGAAATGACCACTGAATAAGTAAATAAACTAACACTAACAAACAAGTAAATTCCACAACAATCCAAAGCAAAGTGAACAACCTGTTAAAAACTACGACATTATGTGTATTTATTCCAGTCAATTCCAGCAGTGTAATTATACGAGGTTATATCAATATTTAGCTTTTTACATTTAATGAAAACAAAATAACCAAAATTAGTCCTTCTAGACACACCCTTGTATTACTCCACGTGGGGTTAATGAGCTCTGCCAGGCAAAACTAACGTTTAACACAGGTGAATGGTCAAAGTAGGTCTGCATCTTGTCTCAACTTTTACAACCATAACACATACATTTGTTTTCGTTCACTAGTACGTTATGTTACAAACTTTTACCAAACGCTGTGTGGTGAGGGTGGTTTGTGCACCGCTTCTAACTATTCCGTAGTCGTTATAATTTCTTTTCTATTTAAAACAACATAATACTCGACGTTATGGGCTACATTAGGTTTACTTCAGTTTACGATCATGGGATTTTCGATTGTGATATTCAGTCATCTAATGGATCCTAACGCGAGTGCATTTTGTTCGGCTAATCCGTAACTTAATACCAAACATAAACAATAACATTATCCCAAAAAGTAGCTGATTCCGACCTACTGAAGGTGAATTTTTCTACGATCAGCCGACAATCGTAATTAATTTGCGATTGTGCAGGGCCGGCATGAAAACTGTTATAATTTTTTATTTTGTTTCAAAAGTGTTATAACATTTTATGTTCCAAATGTCCGTAGGAATCTATGGTATAAATATTACAGATTATAACTGGGACACCCTATATATTTTGAAACAGGCAAATGAGAAGAAATGCGATTAAGATACATTTACGTGTAGGTAACTCATATTTGAGGATTTTAAGATTTTTTTTAACTTTAAATATCATCAAAATATAAAAAACAATTAAGATAACACTTCACATGTGAAATAATTTGACGCGCCCGTCACTTTGCAGTCCCGGACCTAAATTTTCTGTCGACGCCCCTAAATGTAATGGGTTCGATTCCCGGCGAAGGAGTGAGAACAGCAACAAATTTTCCCTCACTAACCTGAGGCAGTTTATAATGGATAAAAAATTTAAAATTAATTTTCACATTAATATTTGATATTAACCAATATTAAATGTCAAAGCGGTTCATATATACATTGTATTTTAATTTGGAGATTGATTATATAAATTATTAGAATATCTTGGGAAAAATCAGGTAATAGCTTTGAAAGGAAAGCCTACAAAAATTTTAATTTTATTTAAGAATTTAGGCTGTTGTAACAACCAATCTAATTCCATAGTAAAGAAGAAGAGCGTATCTTAGGTTAGTTAGACAAGTTGTAACAACGAATACTTCTATTCACTTATTCTTTGGTAACGAATTTTTTATAACTATTTGTTTAATTAAACAGATCTTGTACAATATTAATTTTATCTACACAATAACACCAAATACCATAATATGCATATGTTAATACAGACAAATTACTTGTTTATCTTATACTAAATTTATATCAACCAGTATGTATTACTTTGTATTCATTTATGTGACTTGTCCTTATGCCTACTGATACCAACTATCTACTAGTCACCTATCTATATAATATGTATATTTATACGGGGTGATGATTTAAAAGAAGCACCTAAATATAGTAACTCTACGGAAAGAATTACTGCTAACGTCAAAAAGGGGTATAACTTTTACAGAGAACATCGACTGATGACCTGGAATTTGGCCTTGAGGATTCAATAATTCAATAATTTGAAGGTTATTCCAATGTTATGTCGGTTCATCATCATCATCATAATAAGATCGTCAGTTCAAATACTAGTTGGACACGCACCTACATTCTTTCCTATCCTGAGCTAATCTTCGCATTTCCCTAAAATTCGAGCATCCCACATCTTTTACTGTTTGTGAACAGTAATCTAATCTAGGTCTACCTAATATGTCTAATATGCCTCTGACCAGACATTCATGCCTGAGAAAGTGTCCTACCAACCTATCTCGTCTTCGATTTCGATGTATAAATTAAAAAGTAGCGATAACAGTGTGCATCCTTATCTGGCTTTCTTCCTAATATTTACTTCTCTACGTTGCAGCCCCGTCTCTATAACTGCCTGTTGCTCTTTATACAAACTAAGTATCACTCTTCTATCCCTGTAACTCACCCCTACATGTTTAAGTGTATTTAACATCTAGTCCCATTCTAATATATCTCCTAACTGATGGCCTGGGTATAGGTTCTCTAAGTATTCTTTCCACCTGTCTGCTTTTTCCTCATTTTCTATCAAAATGACCCCTACCTCGTTTCTTATATTATTACTACTGTACCCTACTTTTATTTTAATTATATTATACGCCTCATCCGTTTTATCTACTTTAAACTTTTCTTCTAGTTGTTTGCACCTCATATCAATCCACTGTTCCTTAGCTGCCCTACACTTCCTAATTACTTCCCACTTTATCGCCTTATATCTTTTTTGGCCTTCTTCGTCTGTCCTGTTCTTGTATTTCTGCCTTTCTTATATTATTCGTACAATCTTGGTAATTATCCAGAATTTCCTACTTTCGTTTCGTATAAAATCTAATAAATATCTATCAGCGGAATCTAAGTACGTTTTAATACTGTTCCATTCTGTCTCTACGTCGCTGTCATTCATTTCTTCCGCCTGCTCTAGTATTTCGTCTGTCCATGTACCTATCCTATCACGCGTTTTATTACATTTCAATTTTTCTAAATAAAGACGTTTGCTACCCTCCCACTTGTTCATGATTTTGAATTTAAGATTGGTCTTTATTACTACTAGATTATGATTGCTATCTATATCTGACTATCTCCTCTATCATTTCTATTGCCTACTCCAAAAAGAACCTGTTATCACATCTTCATTACCGTCAGTTATTATTGCGTTGAAGTCTCCTAGGTTTTCAATAGGTTTTCCTATCCTTTCACTAAACTTAACACGTCTTCTACATCTGCATATACAGCTTCTACGTCTTCATCATTGTAAGATAACGTAAACGTATAGGTGCAGATGTTTTTACCGGTTTCGAGTTTAATTTAATCATAACAACCCTATTGCTTTTCTGCAAATAGCTTTCTACACTGTACTGCTTTCTTACGAACTACAATTCCTAACCCGAATTACCTTCCACTGATCCTGTATGAATTATTCTAAACTCTCCAGCATCTGGCCAACGGCCTACTGTATCTAATGCTACCCTAATATCCATCTCAGCTATCTAATTTTCTAACTTCTAAGTTCTACGCTCCGACTCGTGAAATATTGCAATTTTACTTATTGCATCTTTTGATGGTATCTCCCAAGGTAGTCCCCGCCCGAACATCCGAAAGGGAGACTATGTTACGGGTAAATATGATTTCTTACCTGGAAGGGGGGGGGGATATGTTTACGCCTACGTCTCTAAAATCATGTAAAAATATCTTTCGGTAGACGGTAGGAGTGGCAATTCACATCTCTACGATATGTGATATATCATTAGAATCAGACGAAATTATGTTTTCTTTTTCTTTATGGTAACGTTCTAGAACAGTTTTGAAAGCTTTTTGAAGTGAACTTCTTTACGGACGGTAGGGTAAGTTTTTCTACTCGGCCATGTAGTCGAGTTCATAGTGGGGATCGCTTGAGCCGTGAGCGCGCTTCAATGCAACGTTCGTTACAGGCAACTCCGGCATGTATAGTGTAAAATTTAAATTCATAGTGTACAAATAATACCATTAAACCAATTCCTTAACCCCTATCCCGGTATGTTTGTGTGTTTGAAGAAGTTTCACTTCAGTAGC